CATAAGAGCTTAATGTCACAGAACAAAAGGCAATGGCCTGTCTATGACAGAGGAATCATTTCCAGTTGCCTAACCACTGATCTTAATCCAGCATGTGGCCATCTGTTAGTTCAGCCAGAAACTGTCTAGGATATGGTTATAGTTGTCACAGCAGCCAGCAAATCTGAAATCATTTGCAAGATTCACCCATACAAAAATTAAGACCTTTGAGAAGACTCCACCTCAGTTATTCCAGTTCCATGAGATGGAAGAACTAAAAACATTTTCCATTAACCATTTACCTCTGAGGAGTGATCTTCAAATCATAATGACTCTAAAGAAAAGTTCATGTTAGTCAGATCTTTAAAGTATGTTTGTTCACCTGAAAAAACCCAGATAATTTAGCACAATTTTTTTTCCAATCGGAAGAAACTTAGAAATGAAATAGCAGAGGATGCCTATAAATTGGACAGAGATACACTGGCAGGTGTGTGTGTGGGAAGCTTGCACTATGCCTACTTTTTAAACAGCCTTCTGAGCCTTTCTTTTCATGAGCATTAAATTCATTCCAAGTTTTACTTAAGAAAAGGAAATATAAAAGGGTAAAGCAAGTAATTTGAAATGGTTCTGCTGTTGCCAGAGCACTGGTCTTGCATATTTCTTCATTAAAATCAGAGAGGATGTACAAACATATGTTCTAGAGGAGCATCACATAAGGGAAAACAAAATATCATCCTAAAACCAACAGATAATTATTACACCTTTGATCCAATAGTATCTTGTACGCATGTGATTAGCGAAAGGCTCCTTCAAGTCTTAACCTGCAAATACTCAACTAACAAGTGAAGTGCTTATTATCTTAGAGTTCCGCTTAAGCCAATGAAACTACTCAAGATTGTAAACATTATACCTGCTTGCGTTCACAGAATAGAGCCTTTTATCCATATTTCACATCTGATTTGCTATTTTAAACCATGGGCTAGAGTTATTTATAAGATAATATTAATAAACCTGTCTATAGGATTTATAGGACAGTTAAAATGTGATGCAGTTCAAAAGCTATATTCAAATAATCAGAACCATAACTGCATTCTTTTAAGAAGAGTATACAGCAGGGGCAGGCAAAATATGGCCTGCGGGCTGGATCCAGCCCACCCGGCCATTCTATCTGGCCCATGGGACCTATCCAAAAAACAATTACCAGCCTGCAGCTGCCCTCTGAATGTCAGCAGGAGGCAGGGGCTTTCAGAAATCATGCATTGTCAAACTGGGTGGGCTCTGTACCTCTGCCTCTGTAGGGCTCCCAACACGTCAGCTAGGAGCCCCATGTGGAAGCACCTAGCACAATGGTGTGCAGCTGGATGGGGAATGGGGAGGGGAGGTCTTGCCTGAAAGTGGGGAGGTTGTGAGGGAGATGTGGAAGGGTCCCCCTGCCTTGATGCAGAAGTCCCCACTGCATTGTCAGCAGCAGCAGCGGGTGGCAGGCCCTCAGGGCACTCCTGGCAGGCAGAGTCCCTGGGCAGCACACAGCTCCAGCTCAATCCTGGGAGCTGCATGTGGCAGCATAGAGCCCACCCAGCCCATTTCACTCGCTTTTGAGCAGGACCAGGCTGGCTCTGTGCCAGTACATGGGGCTCCCAGCAGGCAGGAGCTGCATGTCATCAGTCTGTGCTGGGCTTGGCTGGCTGCATGTCCCCATGCGTAGCTTCCAGGGCTCCAGCAGGGAGCCAAGCATGGTAGCACGGAGCCTGTCTGGCCTGATAGCGCGCAACTCCCAGTCCCTGTGCCATTGGGCTGGTCAGGTTTCATGCCTCCCTGTGTGGCTCCCCACTGGAGGGCTGGAATCCCCATGTGGAGGCATGGAGCCAGCTTGACCCAATGGTGCATGGCTCCTACTTGCAGTGCTGGGAGCCCCATGTACTGGTATGGAGCTAGCCCTGTCTGGATTAAAGGCACGTGCCAGTGGGCTAGGCTGGGTTGGGCCAGCTCCCAGGATTCAGCTGGAGCCCTGCGCTGCCAGAGTGCTTTGTCTGCTGTGGGCCAGAAACACCCTGACAGCCTGCTGCTGCCACCCACAGCAAGGGCTGTGCAACCTTGGGAGGGCATGTGGCAAGGGAGCCCACACCCACCCACAAACCCCACACACACCCACTCGCAACCCCCCAACCCTCCCCACACCTGTACCCACCACCACCACCCACAATACACAAGAATAAGACTATTTTGAACTATTATATAATTACCTCTACACACACTGTGCAAACACATGTAAATCATGGCAAAAAATATTTTTTGAAATAAATCATAAACTAAAAATCAAACATCTACTACAACTTATTTTAATTTTGTTGTCTTTCTGGTTCCATAATGGCACACCGCCCTCCCAAAAGGAGTACTCCCGGGGCAAGGGGAAAAGGGGAGAGGACCAGGAGTTAAGGGGTGTTAATTCCAGCCCCAAGACTGCAATTAGGAGGTGGGGCACCTGTCAGGGGCAGGGCTACCCTTGCAGCCCTCCACAGATCACCACAAGTCATTAAGCGGCCCTCCAGTCAAAATAATTGCCTACTCCTGGTATACAGAATTTATGTAGCCCCAGCAAACATTGCCTTATGTATTCAGCTGGCAGATGCATAGCGAATCAGCTTCTGATAAAATAGCTACTGTGCAAAACATGACTATTACAAGGGAGACTGCAGCAAGCAAGTCTACACTTGCAACTATTTAACACACTATTCTGAGTTAGTAGACATACTCTATCCAAAAAGTATAAATTCTAAATTTCATTTTTAGAACTGAAGCTTCCTTCTTCTTGCTTGCAATAAGTCTGGCTGAGCATGATATCATGATTACAAATGCATTCACCCAAGCATTCATGCCATGCTCAAAAAGTTTCTTCCTCAGTCAAACATATGGCAGTAACAGAAAAAAAAGAGTGTAAACAAACAAGTTATACACTCTTCTCACTGAATTGGCAGGTCCCTACCATGCAGGAAATGCACATATGACAACAAAGTTCTGCTACATAGAAGAACCACAAAAAGCCAACTACTGTCCAACAAAGCTTCTATAGAGCATATTAATCTTGTTCTAAAGTTTCTTTTTTTTTTTTTTGTCTTTTTAGTATTATACTCAATTGAAAACATCTCTGAACAAATTCCAAGAAGAAAAGTAGTACAGGACAGTGTTAGCTTAGTACAACTAGCCGATAGAAACCTTTTCTCCTCGATGAGACTGGCCAATTACACAGTTGTATCTATGGAAGACTTTATTCTAATGTGCAGTTGGTCTCAAACCTACTAACTTCATCCCTTTCAAAAATAGTCTGAACAGAGCTCATTTTAGTTCTCAAAATATATTCTTGACACTGTTTCAGAATACTTTCACAGATTCTATAAACACAACGTGTATGCTTACAGACAGAAGTGTAAATTTATAATCCAAGTTTTAAAAATGCATGTGCATGGGTGACATCAATACACACACACGTATCTAAGAATCAGACCTTTAGCTGCATAACTGTGTTGAATTATTTCATCTCCCCCACTCCCCAGCAGCATCTAAAGATTTTATTGGAGCACCATGAAAAGGGAAAAGGCATGAGTGCATGGACACGAGTCCAAAGCATCTGAATATTTCCGTAAAAAGCTAAAAACTCACCTCTTCAGCTGGGTGTGTAACATTGCAACCAATCTTGTTGTTTCCTCCAGTTCTCGAACCAAATGATTTCTTTTGCTATTCAATTTCAATCTAGAGAAGACAACAGAAATAGAAAAATAAATTAAGATGATATTTATAAATTAAAATGCAGACTGAGAAATAGTTCTATGCAAGCCTACTGAGATTACTGAGGATATACACAGGATAAATGGGTTTTATGCATAATACAGGCATGTTTTTGTTTTACAGGCTCATGGAATACCGACATTTGGTATCTTGTCCTCTGAATTCTCCCACAACTGTAGAAATCACTAACTGGTATTTTTCTAGAATCAGACTTCAGTTGTTTTTATAGAAGTATTTTTTTGGACAATTCAGGGGGAATATTACCCAATGCCGTCAGTCTTCTACTTAAGGTAAGTACAAAACTATTTCTGGTGCATAGTGACTCAATGGGTATTTAATAAGACCCATAGCCAAGATTTAATAACTTAATTATCATTACTCCCATAAATATAATTTTCTCTGAACTGGAGAATTCAAATACCATATATACTCAAATCTAAAACTAAGTTCCCCCCAATTCAACATGGAAAGGAAGTCCCTTGTCCTGGATTTAAGGTGGGACAGATGGCTGCTGTGACTCCAACTCTGGCCCCCACCATGGGTCAGGGCCAGAGTCAGAGCCACAGCAGCTGCCTGCCCCCACATCCTCCACCTATCTCCTGCCCCCACCCCCACGACCACACCAGTGCTCCACTGCTGCTTATTGTCAGGTGCAGCTCCGTTCCCTCCTGGGCACAAAACACATGAAAGCTGCAACCCCTGCCCAGCCATGCCGCAGTCTCTTATAGTCAGAGTTGTTGCCGTCACCACTGCATGGCCAGGCAGGGACTAGAGCTTTCACGTGCTCTGTGCCCAAGGAGGGAATGGAACCAGAGCTGTGTCTAATATGAAGCAGAACAAGGAGGGTGTAGAGGCTATGGAGACCTTGTGGTAGGGGTGGGGGAGAAAAGAGGCCATGGGAAATGGAAGCTGCAGAGGGAAGGCAGCAAGGAGGTTGCCTGCCCCCCTAATTCATGTCCCCTGCCACTGCATGCCTCTGCTGCAGCAGTGGGAGAATTCATTTAAGACAACTCTCTGTTAATTAGATTCTAGACATGGAAAGTTATAACAATTTTTTTTACATTTGCCACATATAAAATCTAATTATTAAGGGGTTGTCTTAAATTGAAATAGTCTTGGATCTGGGTGAAAACAGTAACCCAACTATATGACGTCTTGCATTTTTAACACCACAAGGTGACATCTGCAACACCTAATTGGGTAATCTATCTAAATTAACATTTCTATACTGTGTGCACGTTAAACATGAACATTATTATTGTGAAAATTATTTTCCCTTCATCTTCACTGTCTACTGGATCCCAATTAAAAAAAATACTGGATTGTGATGTTTCTTTTGTATATCATATGCCCTCTTTCTTCTAGAATAAGGAAGAACAGGCCAAACTCAAGTTCCATCAATGGTGAGACCTGTACAACAAGGTACAGCTAAACAAACATTTAAAAAAACTTCTACCAAGAAGTTCCACAGCTTAGACCTTTAATGGCTTTTGGAAGCAGCCCTGAACTCCATATAATTATCTCTATGCTTACAAAGAGTCACTTGATGTACTGCCTGAGTGTGGTGGTTGGATGGGTGGGGAGGGAGGGGGCAGGAAGCAGCTGTAGCTCTGGGCCTGACCCAGCATCATAGCCAGAGATGCAGCAGCTACCTGTCCCACCCAACTGACTCAATTCCAAGAAGAGGTGCTTTCTCTCAACCATGTTAAATGGGGAGCAGGAGGGGGACCTTGTCCTGGAATCAAGGAATTATGGTATTTATCTTTGGCAGTACCAAAGTGGTGCTGTAGCCATGATGTAACCTAAAGAAGAATGCACTGCATTCAAAAGCTTGGCTAAGTCTGTCCCAACCATGCAGTTGGTTCAGTAAAAGGCATCACCCACAAAAACCCTTGCATCTCCATTATTTATCTTTATAACATGATTGAGGTAAATGAAGATTGTTACTCTTGATTTATATTGGCATAAGATAAATTTTAACTTTAGTTATATTACATAGTTTAATGAAAATTAGAATAATCTAAGCAAAAGTAGCATCAAATGTTAGCCAAGGCTTAGAAGGAAAAATGAGATCAGTAAGCCACATGAAGTTACAGAATTAAGATCTTCCACTTGAAGGATGCCTGCATCAACACTAAGGCTCCCTCTATATGTTATAGGTATTCATATGAAACCAGCTACACATGAAAAGTAGCTGTAACACAATTATGCAGCTCCAACTATTTACAAAGTTAGACCTCAAAAACGTGTACTAATTTTATAGCTGATTGCTATTGAGCTTTATTTTGCACGTGTAACAGGGTCTCCCCTGTGGCTGGGAGCCCCATTAGCTGACAGGGCTCCTAGCTGCAGTGGGGCACCATGCCGAGTGAAACCCCCAAGCCCTAGGGATCCTAGCAGCTGCAATTACCAGGGTCTGGGATTTCTCACGCTTGTAAGCCCTGGGGATTGCGGCTTCAGTAATCCCTAGGACTTGGGAATGCAGGAAACCCCCAGCCCCTGTGGTTGTGGCTGTCACAATCTGTAGGGCTCCAGGTTGTGGGAAATCCCTGGGGCCAGAGGATTGCAGCGATCCTCTGGGCAGGGGTTTCCCTGCAGTCTGGGGGGGGAAATGACTGTAGGGACATGCTCCAGCCCCAGGGGTGCATAGGGCACCCCTGTGGCTGGGAGCCCCCCCCATATAGGGTACATTGGGCTCCCAGCCACAGTAGCTTGCCAGTGCAGAGGGAGCCTGAGATCGTGAATTGTGACTTAAGCTTCACATGTAGAGTGGGCCTAAAAGAAAGATTTTTGAGCTTGTAAGAGTTTTGCAGTGTAAAAGCCTGATGAAGACTTCAGTGAACTTGTACATTTTCTACTGTGATGATATTATAGTAATCCTTAACTCGATAAGGTAGCCTTTCTTTTAGAAAATAAGTTGTCTTCTTAGCTGTTGTGTTCAAGGCTATTCTTGATTTATGTCCATGGATAAATGGTCATTTTTAAAATTAATACACTTTCAAAGAGAAATTTTATCTTGCATTTCAATTTATCGAATCTAGGAAATATGGAGTAACTCAATAGATTACACCTCTTCAGAGCAGTGCTGGGTGGCAGAAGGGCTGGCTAGGGCAAAAGTGTGCTAAAGTGCAGGACTAGGCAGCAAGCAGCGCCCATACTTTAGCACCTTTGTGCCCCAGTCACTATCTACACATGCACTTTGGTGAAGCAAAAATTCTCCGCATAGGACAGTACTGTCGCTGATAGTACTTACAGTGGAGTTAATTAATTTACTGAGCCCTAATACCACCATATATGTAGACGGTGACACTTTACTGCAGAGCTAATTAGTCAACTCCGCGGTAAAGCGAACACATAGATGTACTTAGTGTGTATTTAGAATGTGTAGTATAAGAATGTGATCAATAAAGACGTCAGAGTAGTCTGAGAAACATCATTAACCCAGGATCACACACTACAGAACAACAAGGCACTTATTAAATATGCCTAAAACTGAAGTAGCCTATTTCCCCTTCTCTTATTTTGCAGCCTCTTGATATGATTTTTCCTATAAAATGTTTCAACATAAGCAAAAGGTGTAATTTTGGAATGGTAGCAGGGGCCATGATTTTAACTTGATAGGCTTTAGAATAGTAAAAAAACTTCAGCTATCAGGACCCTTTAAGATATGTAGAATTTTTCCAATACCACAAAGGCATGGAAACAGTTTTAGCATGCTTGTATAGGATGGCAGCTAATTACTCATAGAGGAAATGAAACAATAAAAACTACACACACAAAAATGAAGATAGTATATTCAATCCACACGTACAGTCAGGACAACATGAGTGTGAGTAACAGTACTACAGACTGTAAGCAATAGACATCCACACCCTGGTATGTCTGCAAGTTGATGACTGCACTGAGGTACAGCTCATACATGTTTTGATGCAATTACTACTGCACTTTTCCAGAGGATCTACTTCTCCAGTTGAAGTATTTCCTTGGGAGAAAGTTCTGTTGCATTTCTTTCAATGTACATGTTTCTTAGACTAGGATACTCCACGTGTCTTCCCACAATCCTGAAAAGCAGCAGTTTCTATGGGGATACCACTGAAAGATTAACTAGAACAAAAAGCATGGATTTTAAAATTTCATCTGTCTGCAGTTACCAGGCCCTGGTCCATGGCTGCATATAGCATGGAGACTGCAGGTACACCAAGATCCTGCTAAATAAAAGCATCCACTTGGGTAGGCTCAGAAAAACTGGTTAATCTATATGACAATTTTATGAAATAATTATTTTCATGGATTAGGGTGAAATAGAAAATTATGATGAGACAGAGACAGACAGAGATCTATCTGCATTTCTTAAGCTCGCTGAAGCAACAGGTTTGAAGGTAGGGGTAATACAGTCCAGCCTTCCCAAAACTAAATTGCAGACAGACACTTTCATTTGTTTTATCTTTTCAGGCAACATATTACAAGCACAAGTCCTCTCTGGCCATGTCTGCAAAGTAAACATGTTGTGCCTGACAATGGTGCCATCAAGCCTATCATGCTGCTCTGCATAGCCTGCCTCCTCAACCTGAGGCAGTGTACCTGTATTCACAAGGCCATCTGGGTGGGGTAATTCGTACTGCTGAGCGATTGCCAATTATGCCTGCCATACTGTGCCAGTGCAATTCCCTGGCTTCCAATTTATCAGGCAGTTCACATGAAATGACACCATATGCTTGATATTCAGCTATCAGGCACAGTGAGTTCACAGTGTTGACACCGCCTCTGTTCTACAAGGACACTCCTGGAACACAGAAGCACCTTGCTACAAACTTTGTGCTATGATAAAAAGCTGATCATTTAATTTATACTTTCTGCCTCTTAGACAGTAATTTGAGCTTTGCTCTGAATTCAGTAACATACCTCTCTGTTAAGGCTTTGCTTTGAGTATCTCTTGCTGCCTGAAGGTCTTCCTCCAGACGTTTTCTCTCCATTTCCAGTCTTTCCACTTCACCCCGAGTCCACTTTCTAGGGCTAATAAACCGCAATTCTTTTAAGAGTTCCTCCTTCTCATTGATTAATATTAATCGGTCCCGTTCTGAATCCAATACACCTGGCCAGGCCTCGCTATCCAGTTTAGCCAGCTGTATTTTTAGGTTTGCTATTCTATGGAGGGAGAAAAAGGGGTGGGGGAGAGTGAGGGGAGACAAAAAAAGTTACTGTGCATTTATTGGTTAGAAATCAGCTCCTACTTGACACATACTTACATAAGAAAGAGCAACCAGGACAACTAGCACCCAGGGTAGCCATTACAGCATTTCAGTCTGGAGACTGACTTCACCTTATTTTCTGGCCCTGCTTACACTGCAATTTCTTAGATCTCCAATACCAGTAAGTACAACTCAACTAATGGCACCCTCATTTTTTATGGATAGAGAGAACTAATTTAGGGCTGCAAACCCAGTACCCTGAGAGAATATGCACATAAAACATTGCTTTTATACTAAAGTAGCTAATAGTATGCAAGTTAGTACTAAAACACCCAGTGCTAAATGTTGAAAAGGTTCTAGAAATTAAAGCCCACTTGCAACCATGTTAAGGTGCAAAGAGCAAGCATTTGCCTGGGATGGTTCAGGAATAGTACATCCTACACTTGTTCAGGATATTAAACTAGGGAATCCTTGAGGTTCCTTCCAAGCCTTTAATTCTACAAATCCAACATGCATGGGAGATCAGAATGCATTCTATGGCATACTAGGAGTACATTAACATTTTATTTTTCAATGCTGCAACTACCATATGAACAAGTTTATTCCCCAACCTGGTCTCAGAATTCCCATGTATTATTACAGAAGCTCACTTCAGGTTATTAATATAAAAAGCTGTTTTAATTCCCAAGGCTCAACATAACCAACTTTACATTCTCTTATATTTAGTGCTGCATCAAAATACATTCAAGAACCAAAGGAAAGTGAGACACGGGTTTTGGGAATAATCATCAGAAGTAATCAACAGTGATAGCTCATATGCTAGTAACTAAGACTAATGAAGATGCACAAGTCTGAGAACCATAGTTTTAATAGTGAACTATATGGTTGTAGAACAGTTTCCATTTTAGTCAAGTGACTTATATTTCTGAAACCTTCCCTTTAGAGAGAAAGCATAGAAAAATTGATTCTTAAACAACAATGAACTATTGTCGAAAACTTGAAACATTTTTACATAAAGTTCTGAAGCAAGGAGGGTGGGAATGTATTTCTCTGTTACAAAAGATTTTGCCAGGCATTTACACAAAACCAAAAACTCTATAGCTTAAGGGTGGCTAGAATTACTCACCATGGGAGCCACATCCAATCCTCCACATGAAGTTCAAAGGGGGTGTATGGGCTGAGCTGGCAGGTCTGGGAGAAGTGGGCAGGACAAGAAGCAGGACAAGAGCCGCAAGTACCATGCCACAAAACAAGCAGTTTGGCCACCTTGACTATAAGATGAAGGGGCTGGGAGGTGGGAGTCTTAGGTTGGACAGATAAGGTACCTGCAGACATGCAGGGAGGCTGCGCTGACGCACTGAACTTACAGCATTTTGGAGGAGACTCGATTAATTAGCATGCTGGAGCATGCTAATTAGCGCAGCCTTGGCATCTCATGTATTCAGCATCCCCACACTTCAAAATAGCAGTGGGGGTGCTTTAACTAAAGCTGGTCAAATGAGCTTTAGTTAAAGTGCCCCCATTGCTATTTTGAAGCATGGGACACTGAATACATGAGACGCTGAAGATCCTTTAATTAAAGTGGCTCTCAGAGCTGCTCTATTAAAGTGCCTTACCCCTCTCCCCTGCAGCACATGTAAATATGCCCTTGATTTGCTGTCCTGCAGGAGTACTTGTAAAGCTCTTGAGGGCTTGTTTAAACTGGAGTTAAATCAAAGACAACTTGTTGCCAGTCTCAGTTTTCTGGCTGAGTGCTCAGGTACACCACTGGAACTCAGGAGATCTAGGCTCTGTTTCATTTATACCACTGAACTGCTGAGTGATTTTGAGGAAGTCACCATAATTCCCTGTACCTCATTTTGCTCATCTGCAAAATGAAGCAATCACACTTACCTCCTCTTATAAAAGATTTTGAGATCTACCGAAGAATAGTAATGAGACGAGGACATCATTTGTGTGAATAAAGACAGACAGGCTTAATTTGTTTTGGGGCAAAAATGTTTGTGAGTGGATGCTAGAGTCAGTAGGTACAAATATATTTGCTAACTCAAGTAGCCTTAGGAGGAGAGATTGATGGACCTGGATCTCTTCAGCCTCCGCAAGAGAAGGCTGAGAGGTGATCTTGTGACCTACTACAAATTCATCATGGGGGAGGCACCAAGGAACAGGAGATGTTCTGTTTACCAGGGCACCCCTTGGAGTAACTAGGAACAATGACCACAAAGTGACGGAGAGCAGATTTAGGTTAAACATCAGGAAGAACTTCTTTACAGTAAGGGTTGCCAGAGTCTGGAATAGGCTTCCAAGGGAGGTGGTGCTCTCCCCTACCTTGGAGGTCTTTATAAGAGGAGGCTAGACATGCATCAGGCTGGGGTCATCTAACCCAAGTGCTCTTTCCTGTCCAGGGCAGGGGGTCGGACTCGATGATCTACCGAGGTCCCTTCTGACCCAAACTTCTATGAATCTAAATTGGCAGCCAACTAACTTGGGTTCAAAACCTCAGTACAGATCAAACCATATGTACAGGCCAAACCCACCCTGCCTGGTTTATCACAGTTAAAAGGACCACAGCAAGGTGGGGGAAAATGACAGGAAGCAGTGGAGCTCTTCAGCCGCATGACTCTTGAGTGCCTCTCAGGATTCAACTTCATCTCTTCACCCCTTTCAGAGCCCAGAGGTTCTGTGAAATGATGGCACATTTGTGTGTAGCTCCTGATTCTTTCTGAGGACATTAGGATGATGTCATTTCACCACAGAGGCACCAATTTTTACTACTGAGACAGTTCCCACAGGAGGATTGTTTACTCTTAACTAATATGAATTAATCCTGACTATTTTTAGCTTTTGCAGGAGCTGTTTTGTTTTTGGCTGCTTGATTAGGTACAGCATTGTACTCCAGTGAAGAATTAACAGTGGCATTAATTCATAATCTGAGAATTGCTCTGTGTATTTTGAAAGAGTATGAATTTTGTAAGAGGATTGCTTGGTATTAAATATGATCACTCCTGGCACCTTTTTGCATGGATATGGCTTTTGCAACGAAAATTGCTCCTAACAGTCTGCAAATTCTTAGTTTCATTAAACTGAAATTTACCCTGCTTAGCAAGCAACCATTTCCCCTCTCTTTTTGGATTAAAGGCAGGTTTACAAAATTAAGTGTAATAATATTTATTCATCTTTAAAAAAGAAATGTTTTTCAGACGACTTGGCACTTAACGAAAAACTTTAGCCATTCAGCATTCACAGACTAAGAATTTAAACAACATCATTCATGCACAAGCCCAGATTTGCATTATAAAGAAATCAGTGACACAGGATTTGGATATGCTGAGCACAGAGTGCTGACCAACTCCCAAAGCTGAAGGAAGTAGAGGAAAGAAAGCTTGGTTTTAGTTTTACACTGTTTTATTTTAAATCAGGAACAGTATTTGGGCGGTCTGTCTGTGCTGATTCATTTAGTGAAGTAAGCTAATGGGCCACATGTGTTTTAAGTAGAGAAGGGTAAAATTTTCAACAATAAAGACCACCCTCTCTCTTTGCAATAAATCAGAGTATGTGCACATCATGAATGATTTGGAACGTGGGTCAGCAACCTATACCCCAGGGGCTGTATCCAGCCAACAGAACCATTTTATCTGGCTCATGAACTGGGGAGCTATAGTGGCATTTCTGTTGCAGCACAGTGACCAGGCAGTGCTGAAAAGTGGTGGTGGCAGTACTGCAGATGAAAGCAGTAGCTTTCATGGTGGCAGCAGCAGCATGGGCCGGGTTTGAAGTGGTCTGAGCTCAGAGTAGCTTGTGCTCCAAAATGCCATGACCCCTGATTTGGGGGGATAGGATTGAGTATACACTTAGCAAACTTGCAGATGATGCCAAACTGGGTGGATCCTGGGGGACAGGATTAGGATTCCGAATGACCTTGATAAACGGGAGAAATAATCTGAATTTAATCAAATGAAATTCAATTATGGGCAAGCGCAAGATCCCGCACTTAGGATGGAACAATTATATGTACAAATATGGACCGGAGAAGGGCTGGCTAGGCTGCAGTACTGCAGAAAAGAGCTGGAGGGTATAGAGGACTACAAGGTAAATATAAATCAATATGATGCTTTAGTTGCAAAAACACCAATAGCATACAGGGCTGTTTTAACAGAAGCATTGTTTGCAAGTAAAAAGAAGTAGGTGGTCTGTTTTATTCACTAGTGGCAAGCCCTCACCTGGAATACTGTGTCCAGTTTTGGGCAAGGCATTTTAAGAAAAGTGAGGAGCCACAAAAATGATTGCACAGATCTACATCTGTACTTCACTGGCACTTGCCAATTATGCCTACCAAAAGGGAGACTCCACTTCAGAAAGTGTTCTCATACTTGCAAAAATATACCTAAACCAGTGGTGCTCAACCTCTAGCCTTCAGGCTCCATCTGTGGAGCTGTGTAATCCAGCTCATGGTGTTCCCCACAGGTCTGGAAAATTCGTGGTGGTGGGGCAGTAACAGAGCTACCAATTGCTCCCAAAACCATAGCAATTAACAATGTCCTCACTTTCCCACCACCAAATTCTTGACTGGTGGGACCCCCAATGATGTGATCCAGTGTCAGAGAGGTTAGGCACCACTGACCTAAATGATTTTAAACACATATTGCTATAGCTATTACACCATATATGGCAATGGTTTAAGTTGTAGGAATTTCAGGGATTATAAAACAAATGTAAAAGGTCCACCTTGGTCAAAAGTCATCAATAATCACAGTGGCTAGTGCAATTCCCTTTTCATGATATGATATTATATTGCTAGGAAACAAACTGCTTTGGATATTAAAAAAAACTTTAGATTGCGATGAAAACTTTTGAAAACAGAGCTTCAGATTCCATTAGGAAATTAGTTCTTTCAGAATGGAATATATTACCTGCTTGATCAAAGAGCCCCTTGGGAAGGCATTTGAACTTGCTGTG